CACAAGACAGACAACATCTGTGACAGCAATGCACCACAAGACAGACAATGTCTGTGACAGCGCACCACAAGACAGACAATGTCTGTGACAGCGCACCACAAGACAGACAACATCTGCGCACCACAAGACAGACAACCACAACAGACAAACCACAAGACAGACAATGTCTGTGACAGCCACCATCACAAGCACAACACTGTGACAGACAGACAGACAATCTGTGACAGTGCACCACAAGACAGACAACATCTGTGACAGTGACACCACAAAGACAGACAATGTCTGTGACAGTGACACCACAAGACAGACAATGTCTGTGACAGCACTCCACAAGCAGACCATCAAGACAGACAATGTCTGTGACAGCGCACCACAAGACAGACAATGTCTGTGACAGCGCACCACAAGACAGACAATGTCTGTGACAGCACACCACAAGACAGACAATGTCTGTGACAGTGCACCACAAGACAGACAATGTCTGTGACAGCACACCACAAGACAGACAATGTCTGTGACAGCGCACCACAAGACAGACAATGTCATGTCTGTGACAGCGCACCACAAGACAGACAATGTCTGTGACAGCACCACAAGACAGACAACAACATCTGTGACAGCAGCACCACAAGACAGTCAACCACAAGTCTGTGACAGCTTTGCACCACAAGACAGACAATGTCTGTGACAGACAGCACCACAAGACAGACAATGTCTGTGACAGCACACCACAAGACAGACAATGTCTGTGACCAGCGCACCACAAGACACAGACAATGTCTGTGACAGCACACCACAAGACACAGACAACAATGTCTGTGACAGCGCACCACAAGACAGACAATGTCTGTGACAGCGCACCACAAGACAGACAATGTCTGTGACAGCGCACCACAAGACAGACAATGTCTGTGACAGCACCGCATAGTGACAATGTCCACAAGACAGACAATGTCTGTGACAGCGCACCACAAGACAGACAATGTCTGTGACAGCGCACCACAAGACAGACAATGTCTGTGACAGCTGCACCCACAAGACAGACAATGTCTGTGACAGCACCACCAAGACAAGACAGACAATGTCTGTGACAGCGCACCACAAGACAGACAGACAATGTCTGTGACAGCGCACCACAAGACAGACAATGTCTGTGACAGCGCACCACAAGACAGACAGACAATGTCTGTGACAGCACACCACAAGACAGACAATGTCTGTGACAGCACACCACAAGACAGACAATGTCTGTGACAGCGCACCACAAGACAGACAATGTCTGTGACAGCACACCACAAGACAGACAATGTCTGTGACAGCACACCACAAGACAGACAATGTCTGTGACAGCGCACCACAAGACAGACAATGTCTGTGACAGCGCACCACAAGACAGACAATGTCTGTGACACCACAAGACAGACAATGTACTGTGACACACCACAAGACGGACAATGTCTGTGACAGCACAAGCACCACAAGACAGACAATGTCTGTGACAGACGCAATGTCTGTGACACCACAAGACAGACAACATCTGTGACAGCACACCACAAGACAGACAATGTCTGTGACAGCACACCAATGTCTGTGACAGCACCACCACAAGACAGACAATGTCTGTGACAGCACCACAAGACAGACAACATCTGTGACAGCACACCACAAGACAGACAATGTCTGTGACAGCGCACCACAAGACAGACAATGTCTGTGACAGCGCACCACAAGACAGACAATGTCTGTGACAGCGCACCACAAGACAGACAATGTCTGTGACAGCGCACCACAAGACAGACAATGTCTGTGACAGGCGCACCACAAGACAGACAATGTCTGTGACAGCGCACCACAAGACAGACAACATCTGTGACAGCACACCACAAGACAGACAATGTCTGTGACGGGTGCACCACAAGACAGACAATGTCTGTGACAGCGCACCACAAGACAGACAATGTCTGACACAGCACACCACAAGACAGACAATGTCTGTGACAGCGCACCACAAGACAGACAATGTCTGTGACAGCGCACCACAAGACAGACAATCTGTCTGTGACAGCAGACAATGCACCACAAGACAGACAACATCTGTCTGTGACAAAGCAGCACCACAAGACAGACAACATCTGTGACAGCGCACCACAAGACAGACAATGTCTGTGACAGCGCACCACAAGACAGACAACATCTGTGACAGCGCACCACAAGACAGACAATGTCTGTGACAGCACCACAAGACAGACAATGTCTGTGACAGCGCACCACAAGACAGACAATGTCTGTGACAGCGCACCACAAGACAGACAATGTCTGTGACAGCGCACCACAAGACAGACAATGTCTGTGACAGCGCACCACAAGACAGACAATGTCTGTGACAACGCACCACAAGACAGACAACATCTGTGACAGCACACCACAAGACAGACAATGTCTGTGACAGCGCACCACAAGACAGACAATGTCTGTGACAGCGCACCACAAGACAGACAATGTCTGTGACAGCGCACCACAAGACAGACAACATCTGTGACAGCACACCACAAGACAGACAATGTCTGTGACAGCACACCACAAGACAGACAACCACAAGTCTGTGACAGCGCACCACAAGACAGACAATGTCTGTGACAGCACCACAAGACAGACACAACATGTCTGTGACAGCACACCACAAGACAGACAATGTCTGTGACAGCGCACCACAAGACAGACAATGTCTGTGACAGCGCACCACAAGACAGACAACATCTGTGACAGCGCACCTCAAGACAGACAACAGACTCTGACGGCAAGCGCACCACAAGACAGACAATGTCTGTGACAGCGCATAGACACAACAGACCTCAGACAACATCTGTGACAGCACCTCAAGACAGACAATGTCTCTGACAGCACAACACAAGACAGACAATGTCTCTGACAGCGCACCACAAGACAGACAATGTCTGTGACAGCGCACCACAAGACAGACAATGTCTGTGACAGCACAACACAAGACAGTCAATGTTTGTGACAGCACAACACAAGACAATGTCGTAGACAATTCGTGTAGCAGGATATGAGTACAGGCGATATTGTCATTTAGAACGGCTCATGTTTTGAGACGGCATGATTTGGAAACACATTCAGACTTTTACTTTCCCAATGCTGCTGGCCCCAACTTGTATCTTGACAACTATTTGTCTTGCTTGCGTTCATATAACTATGTAGATGTTATCAACTGGACTATAGCAGACAGGACATTGTTACTCGCCCCTGGAAGATACTGCAGTGTACTATTTTATGGCAATATTACACTAGTGTAAAACCCCTAGATGTATGATGTCATAATGGTTTACAGTTATGACGTTACAATGCTAATACTTCTGTGACAATGATATCAGACCTTGCACTTGCATGACTCACGGAAAGCTGGAGAGTAATAAACAGAATAAAACTCGCTTCCGTGAAATAGCATTTTTATTAAACTTGTGAAAGATTTAGTATCTAACTTGCTTTCGCTCGTTTGATACCAAATCATTAACTCGTTTAATAAAAATAGTATTACATGGAAGGCCGTTTAGTATCCTCTATATACACCTTAACTACAGTTCATGCTGACAGACACTAGCACCTCTGAAACCTGTCTTTTGTTTCAAGTCAAGTGTCACTTGAAAATATCACCATTATGCATCCTAGCAACATGAAATGAAAATTATGCAAACAAAGCAATTCTGGAAAACTCAAAACACTGATATAAGTCTCATGTTGGATCTAAACATGTAATATTCCACTTTTCATACCGACTGAGCTGATGCTAAATAGATGTGTTCATTCCGACATGTGTTGCAATATCATTAAACTTGATACACATGAAACTTGATGCCCACGAACATTACAAAATCACCTGAGGCCACAATAAATTATATTATTTTTCATTAAAATGTTGAAAAATTTCAGGTAGGAGGCATTCTATGTTTGCACATAAAATAGGAGACAATAATATACAAAGGGATGGAATGGAAATCAAATAATTTTATTCATTTTGGCATTTGTTGTAAATGTCCATTGATTGTGATTGGTTGAATGTGGCAGGTGTAACAGTTCACATGGCAGCTGGGTCCTTCTGCAGTACTTCAACATAACTACCAATACTCAACCGTGAAAAACCAGGCAACTACAAGACTAACAAAGACATATATGCAATGTTCAAAGAATAATTGACCATTTCTGAGACACAAATATCACTACCAGCATCGAAGTTTCCAGCCTTGTACAGTGAATCACACATGGTTTTGTTTTTTGTATTTCTGAACATATTGTCCATGTTATATATGATACAGAAAGAAGAAGGTGTGTGCAAAATCAACTGATCATGTTTGTTTTGGTGAAGTCTTGTGAAAAATAGTGAAGACATTCTATAATATTTCCATCAGCAAAATATCTTTGGTGGGTATAATGACTAGATGCCTGCCAAACCGATGTTTAACCAGCACCTGAAGGTGCCATGGTCAAGGTGTCCCAAGGTGCACACACAGTGTCCTATCATTTCCTGTAGTGTCAATTCCACAATACAGTTGGGATGTCATCAGTGTTCAGTTTTAGAGTGTGTAGTATTGCCACATCAATGTGACACAAGAAATAGCATGTTGCTGTGTGGTGTATAATTAAGATTACAAAAGAAATTCAACATCATGTGCACCACTGCATCACATGCAACAGAGTTTACACTGAATGTCTGTATGTACTGACACTAGCTGTATCCAAGTGCATGACACCATCCTTATACACATAATACACAGTACACACATGGTGAGTGAGTGAGTGAGTAGAGGAACCAAGTCAGCTCTCGCAACAAGTTTTATATTAGCTTTGAGTATATTTTAATACAACACACTCTAGATGCATCCTGTTGATTTCTCTACTCTGTTAAGACAGACTAGGAGACAATCAGTGTGTGAAATAAGTGTGGTACACTTGTCACTGAGGAAGCAAGTGCCACTAAGTCTCACCTGTTCCTGTCAGCTCTCGCATCCTCTTCTCTCAGGAAGAACTGAGCCCCCAAGTCTGCAACAGTGGCCGTCTTCCTGTCTTGGATGGTCAGCGACTGGAAACAAATGAGACGCCTGTCATGTCTAGATGGGGGAATACACTCATTGTGGGAAGTACAAACAGGACATGCAGACTCTGTTGGAGGACATCCTGGTGGAATATACCAGCATTGGAGAGATAAACAACCACAATCTATTCAAGGTGCTGTCTTGACATCATGCACTCTTGAGAACATTTCTGATACTGGAATACTTACAGAATCTGTATAGAATGTATTAGGGTTAATAGCTTAAAATTGTAAGTTTTGATTTTATGATTCATCATTTATTTCAAATCAGTGTACATCAAATTCAATATAATAGACATGAGCAGTAATATTTTGGGGGTTTGTAGTTGCTTCATCCAAATTGGTCTACAAAAGAAATGACCATAATCAGTTTTTAATTACTGGCAAAACACCCCAATTAATTCAGATTTAACTTGTTATTTGACCAAAAAAATGGGGGTTCTGAACAAGTTCAACAAATTGATAGTCATTCTTAATAGTTTATGAAGAAAATCATTCCTAAATTGTCAAATTTCTTACCTTCACTCCAGCCAACACTATGTTCTTTGCTGCAAGAAACAATGGACAAATATAATGACATCATAATCGGTGCCACATATATGTACATATATCACATAACTTGAGTCACGATGCATACTTCCATAGGTTCTTTATCACTTGGTCCTTCCAATACCTACAGCTGAGTAAATACCCACACCACACATATAAGTACATATATCACATAACTTGAGTTATAATGCATATGTATTATGATACTCTATTTCATCCATTTAAAGTATGAAACGCTCCTTGGTCCATGTCATCTGGCCGACCAGTGGCTGGGGCTATGAACCAGTTTGTGCATAAATCACACGTCTCCATATGCAGTCAGCCTAAGCATTTTCTTTCATGATAGGTGGTCCAGAAAATATATTCCAAATAGTCCTCAGAAGTTTGTGTTGCAAAACTCACACTGGATGAAAACAAAAAATGGGAAAGCCAAAATAAAGCTGTGAATAGTGAGATGAAATACGTCAACACACTGTGAGCCATATGAATGCAACAGATATAGATGATAGCTTGAATGTGCATCCAGTACACAAATGTAGAACATGGACACAGAAAAACAGTTCACTGTGTCCAGAGTGAGTGAGTGAGTGAGTTTAGTTTTACGCCGCACTCAGCAATATTCCAGCTATATGGTGGCAGTCTGTAAATAATCGAGTCTGGACCAGACAATCCAGTGATCAACAGCATGAACATCGATCTGCGCAATTGGGAACTGATCACCTGTGTCAACCAAGTCAGCGAGCCTGACCACCCGATCCTGTTAGTTGCCTCTTATGACAAGCATAGTCGCCTTTTGTGGCAAGCATGGGTTGCTGAAGACCTATTCTACCCCAGATCTTCACGGGTCCTGTGTCCAGAGGGATGTAAAATATTATTCATTGTATCCACGACACATCTATGACTTTGCTAAGTGTTTGGTTGATTCTTTCAAGAGCAGTTACGCGTATCATTTCATCCATCAGTCCACATGATCAATGATTCATTCCAGGCTCTAAAGAAATAATGAAAACGTACAATTCTCTACACTGTTACTTCACAGGACCCTCATAGTGCCTGCAAGGACCCTTAAAACTAATAATTGGGGGTTCTGGGGCCCCCCATGTTTGTGAGTAGAGGTAAAACCCTGTAGCTGTCAAAAAGAAGGGTAATTACTAGGGCTGTAACGATGCATCGAACTATCGATGGATTGTAATTGTTGAGTCTCCGATAGCAGTTAATCGATGGTAGAAGCGAAAAACTATTGATGCATCGATAGTATGTGTGACTATCGATAGTTTAGTAATTGACTTCCATTGATAAATGCGCAGTGCAAAATACAGGAAGTACCAGATTCGTTCACTTTGATTTAGAGTTATCCGCCCTTGTTACCTCTTAAACATACTAGATCTGGGTTTCAAGTTTCTTGTCAGCTATTAAAAGAGACTGAAACTACTTCAGCTTGTTTTTATTTCATATAAACTATTCATTCATTTGGGAAATGACTTCAAATGAGTAGGGCTGCGCAATATAACCGGTTTACCGGTATTTACCGGTTCAGACATGAAAACGATACGTATTGCGATACGCTGGTTGAAAACCGGTATTTTGACTTGCATTCGGAAAACTTCGGATATTTCCTTGTTTCATTTGTGCCAAATATTCTTCACATTTTTATTTTATCATGATATATATTGCAATACATATCGCAATACATGCTTTCGCATTGCAATATATTGCAATATGAAAATTCTGTGCAATACCCACCCCTACAAATGAGATAATTCAAGGAGAGCAAATACTATTGCATTAGTAGTGCAATAGTTGGTCGCAATAGACCATCGCTATCGTAATAGTATGTTGCAATAGATTATCGCTATCCCAATAGTTGTTCCCCTCAATAGTCACCCCTAGTAATTACTACCTTTAGAATAATCCCCTTCTCCTCTGAAAGACATAGAAATGGGTCTCCAACATACAGAAAGAGAAATTTGCATGTGTGTAATAATCTGATCCCAACATCTCCTGAACAAAATAAGTAAGTAAGTAAGTATGGTTTTACGCCGCTATTAGCAATATTCCAGCAATATCATGGCCGGGTACACCAGAAAAGGGCTTCACACATTGTACCCATCTGGTGAATCAAGTTGAGTCTTAAGCATTACGAGCTGACGCTTTAACTCCATTAGGCTGCCCCACCGCTCTGAACAAACTAAGTGAATATTTAAGTACTGCAGACTAAAGACATAGAGCTGATGCTTTAACTCCATTAGGCTGCCCCTCCGCTCTGAACAAACTAAGTGAATATTTAAGTACTGCAGACTAAAGACATAGAAAAGATACAGACTCTTATGAAACATGCAACACACACTTCCCTTTGTCAACACCTGTTCCCTTATTTGTCAACATCAATACATCACGAGTATACGAATACCATCACCTGATGAAGGAGCAAGCATACACTCTGAAACGTGGTGTTATTCACAATAATGAGGCTGACATCCATAAATCTTGCTTTTCTTATGCATTCCACTTCTAAATGCCCTTCAAAGATTAAATTCAACACAAACAAGTAACATCATTTCCACCTCCTGAATGGTGACAAACTGAACTACTAAATACTCCAAACAATTTGAAATGATTAACAAGAACTAAAGTATCGTGGATAACAGAATAAAATATTAATGAATATGTTAAAGAGCATCTGCCATGACTGTGACACCATTGATCTCAACGAAGGAGTAATGATGGGTGTAACACTTACAGTCCTGTTTGAAGCCCAAGACACTCTCATCACAATAAAGTGATTTAGTCTCTGAACTATTCATTTAACTCAGATTGTGTGACTGCATTCATTTGAAAAGTGTCACCTGTTCCAGTTGTTTAGAGGAAAGGACCCTTTACACTAACCATGTTTGTGAGTCGAGGTAAAACCCTGAAAGACACTCTGAGAACAACCCTATTGCGAAATAGCTAAGTCACCCGTATAGCCAATACAGACTCGGGGTACAAGGCAATAATATTCTGCTTGTCCAAGTCTTCCCTGCTAGTACATAAACCAGTGAAACAATGTTATTAGTAGTGGTGTTCTGATTAACTGAAATAATCGAAGATCGGTCGCAGTGACCAAACGACCAAGCAATTGATCACATTTACTCATAATCAAACACAAACGATTTTGGAACTACTGTTTTAGTCTTGAAACACTTGATGATGGAACATATCTTTGAAGTAGTCAGGGTCTGAAAACTTGTTTAATTCTTATAAAACTCACTTCACTAACTGAAAAGTCATGACTGAATATTTCTTGAAGACTCCAGGAAGCTTATGTTCATGATATATTCGTCATCACTTTAAAGAAGCGAGTTCTATCATGTTATACATATCTGCAATAACAACCTGGATAGGAAAATCTGAAAAATGATGCTAACCAATTTTTTTTTATGATTGTTTGTTATCAATTGTGAGATTTCAACCAACTCCCAACACTAGTTATTAGCATATTTTTAATGAGAGTTAGTCAATGTCCTGGATATAAACCAATCAGAAACTCTGTGAGGTGAATCACACTTAACTACTATGAATACTGGAGAATATCAGAGCATTAAATCAAAATTCTTACAATTAAATGTAGTTCTCCATCAAAAAAACCCAAAAGTTAGCTATAGGGTTAACTTCTTTGAGTGACATTTTTAGAAGTTGGAGAATCAGATAAGGACAAACTTTATTCATAATAAAGAAGTTGTATATCCATCAAGTTTGTCCTTATTTAGATACAGAGTTATTGGGATATTGGGCCACAAGCCAGTATAACTTTCAGAAGTAGATGCAATCTGTACCCACCTATCTCCACTCCAAGTCCACCCATGCCATATATGAGCACTGCTGACTTGGCCATCCTCTTCATGGCACTGTCTCCAAGAACATAACGCTGACGACTGAAATATAAGTTTCTCAGGCTATATCAAATCTTCACATTTTGCATACTGTGGTAACCTGAATAAACCACTCAGGCCACTTGTATTATTCAATATCATGTCAAAACATCTTTGTTTAAAATCTCTAACAACAAAATTTGGTTCAAACCCTTCATAAATTTGTCCCAATCATTTTGTTTCAATTTTATGTAATAATGACCATGTGATTTCTGGTAATATTGTAATAGCAGGCAAGGCACTGGTTCTGGTACATTTACAAACTAGTAATAAATTTAACTCAGCCACAATATGAGCCAGTTTACTTCTTGTAGTAATTACCAAACATTATCTTTGTTTATACATGACTTGTCTACAAGATGGGTTAGACCAAATCTTTTATAAACAGCTACGGAGGTATTTCAAAGAACTAACACTTATATCTAATGATTTAAACAAAGTGCATTCCTTCTGTCAGGGAAGTTCAAATGAGAAAACAGTAACTGGGCTTAAAAGTTTATTTTTAGAGAATTTAAGAGCATGTTTAAAATATATATAAGACGAGTATATGGATGGCACCTTCTTGTTTATTGTATATCACAACATTTCTGGGCTACTTCTTGCCCCTTCTTCAGGTGATTGAAGAAGGGGCAAGAAGTAGCCCAGAAACGTTGTGATATACAATAAACAAGAAGTTGCCATCCATATACTCGTCTTATATATTCACCAAATTCTAAATGCCTCTCAAGAATCTTAAAAATATACACATATATATTTGAATCCCACAATAAACTAAACAAATAACAAATTTCATAATGCTTTTTCAAAATCTTAACAGCCATAAACAAGAAGACAAAGTCATCAATATCCTTATCAAGTGTGAAGCTTTAATTTCACATACCTCCAACAGCAGATTTACCAAATTATCAGCATTACATTTCTTCTTCTTGTCTCGTTTTGGTGAAAATGTATTTAATAGATGAAAATATATGTTTTTGTCTACATATCCGAATTTTAATGAATTTTCTCTAAATTTCATAGAATTTCTAGTGCAATCGTATTGGCGTTGTTTGAGGTTAAAATTTGTAGCGACTACAATAAAATTGTAAAGGTTGACATCTCTGCTAGGGTATATTGACACACCATCAACTAAGACACCTAGTCCAACCACCAAATCCATTCAGTTACATCTTATGACAAGCACAGTTTCGTGAAGATGTTATCTAACCACTACCGCCAGGATGTTAAAATCAAATTTCATCACCAAATGCATCAGGATGAATCAGGACACTCCTTGTTAAGGGCAAATACCATTGAACAAATAAATTTTCAGTGTTATGATCATTGTTATAGGACTTACCTGTATAGCGTATCATCAATCTCAACTTCTGACGCCATTATCTGTTCTTTGTTTGTCAACCTGTAAAACATAATGGCAGTATGATCAAAATGTAAAGAGACATCACATCATCATGGTATACATCTTGATACAGTGTACACTCATCAAAATGGTATCTCTTCAGCTAGTCTCATCTATCTATATAATAGCAAGTACAAGTTCACAAGTCATTAATTGGTTGTTTTTTCTTTCATTCCCTATAAATCTACTGTAAAAGAAACACTCACACAATCAATTATTCGAGGTTACTGTATGATATAAATATATATATAATTTCACGAATGGCATGAGAAATTCAACTGACTGACTGAGTTTGGTTTTATGCCCCTTTTAGCAATATTCCAGCAACATCACGGCGGGGTCACCAGAAATGGGCTTCACACATTGTACCCATGTGGGGATTCGAACCCTGGTCTTCGGCGTGACGAGCCAACGCATGAGAAATTCTAAATGGCGATAACTGTTACAGTTAGTTGTGAGAAAACATCTATTTATACTGCCATGATTCCCTTCCGTCACATTATATAAAAACATGATCGGCGGCAGTGAATGGGCTGGACACATCGGTGAATAGCTAATTAAGTATCATAATTAATTCTGATTCATTAATATTACAAACCGCGGAGTAATTTTGTAAATACCGCTAAAACCGCTCGGTAGCCAGTACAGTTACAAGTGTCAATACACCAAAAAAGAGCCACAATGTACCTCCTGTGCACCTTCTGTCATGAGGTGATATTTCTGTTTTTTAACGGAATATTTGGATAAACCTGTGTCTGTCAAGGAAGACATGGCATTCAATACTGCATGAAATAGGTCATCACTTCAGTGTAGAGTCAATAAATAACTACAGCAATTAATTCAGTTGCCAAAAGCCATTAAGAAACAGGTTTTATGTGTACTGTTATAATTTGTAATCTCTCATAGTTTGCAATTTTGTGCACCTGATGAGGTCATACTCGGATGCTTACCAAGGGTGGATTTAGTGGGGGGTGCCTGGGTGTACGCCCCACCCACCTTCAAATAAATTAATAAATCAACAAATAAAGAAAGAAAGAAATCATCACTGACAGGTAATGTGACAGAATATATAATTCTGCATTTGTGTTTATCTGATTGCAACCAAAATGTCAGCATAGTTACTTTATTTCATATACACTATGTCAATTATAGAAATTGTGCACCCTCTCTCTCTCTCTCACACACACACACACACTCTCTTCCTTCCTCAAAAAACTCCAGTGGTATCCGCCCATGATCTGGTGAGGTTAACTAATCGGGGTTTTCACGTCGTGTGTGTGTTTACCAGCTTGACAAACTGTACCTTTAAACTGTAAAATCTCTGGTTATTTTGAATAAACAATAACATGTCATGTTTCATTTTGTGGATAAGAGTGCCTGCTCGTTCATAACAGTAATGTACAGTGGATTGCACAACTGCAAGAGACATAACCAAGTGCCAGTGGCATTGACGAATGACTTGGATCTTGTAACAAGACAACATGCAAGGTGTCGTAGAAGTCACATCACGTGTAGCCTGACAAGGCATGGTTCACATACACAACTTTGATAAATTGTTAAAGACACGATGACATGATCACCGAGATTGTCATACACACCAACTGTGTTTCCACTCCAGCTATCGCTTCTTTCCGTAATTTCCCGGTAACGGAAGTGAAACCTAAATCGATTACGCGTTATACGATTCGCTACCGTCGATTCTATATCCAATGAAACGTTCCGTTACAAACAAGGTGCCCGTCCTTCCAGCCGGCGAGAGAAGAGGCTTCACATTCAGTGGTGAGGAATGGCGACGGATGCAATGGATAGCATGTCGATGTCCGAAACGGATGATCAGGGCTTTTCACAGCCACCCAAAGCTGCTTTGCTTTTGGTTATTGGAGAACCCCTTTCCGATGAACACAGGAATTTGATTTTGGCCGAAATCACGACAGGTAGGAATTTTAAAAATGTGTTGTCGAGTTTGACAGCCGCTTCTGAGAACTGCCAGGAATCGGCAAGCATGCAAGCACCAGCCGAATGGTGTCGGTTTTCAGACGCACAATGGTATGCTAGACTGCAGTAGTTTTGAGTCGGAATTTTACAGAATGTGTTTAAAATAATGACTTTTTAAAAAAAATTAGAGTTAGACTTTAAATTTTCAAAAAGAGGCCAGTTAGAAACCGATAAATGCGTCACGCATAGCATTTACTTAATTCACTGGGACTATCATGCGAACAATGGTCGAAACAAACCAGTTTAGCGAAATATTTCCTTTTGCCACTTTTGTTGCAGCTACACAGAAATGGGTCAGCTTTTGAGGCATGTTTTTGCAAAGAAGTGACATTTATTCAATGAATGAGAAAAACAGAATTTCAACAGACAGACGATTATCATAATTTATTATTTCTCCTGCACCATTCAGTTTCTCCTACCCAAGATAATTATGGTAGGGCACTGACGTTGAAGTTTGCCAAGGTACAGACATGGCACATTATTAACAACAACAACCCCAGCTTAGAATAATATTTTTGAAATGAATTTTCATTAATTAGTAAGTAGGCATCATAGCATTTAACTATTAATATTGCAGTTTTCTAGATATTTGACATGGCAGATGTTATTGGTTCTATTTCATCATCTCATTTACTTATTCAATATTCACATATTTATATAATTCACGTTTCCCATGTTAATATTTATCATTTGATTCAAATTTGAGTGGCTGCTCCAGTGCAAAGTACAATGGTCATTGTTACATTTTAAATGGGAAACAATACTGTTCAAGTCATCTGAGCCAGCTGGCATGATGCTGTATAAATCTGCATGAATAATATCTATTTTAAGTGAATGAAACAATAACCTCATGTACTAACAGCAGTATAAAACTTGCAAATTCCTCTAATTTTAGAAGTGAACAGAGTGATCATTATTATTTGGATTCACTCATACTTAAGTTCAGTGCAACTTTGGTCTGTTTAGTATTCAAGTATTATTCAAATTCCTCTAGTTCTCAATTTGTCAGATTTTATTTCATTTGCACTAATTTTTCAATACTCAAGGGATAAACCATGTCTGAGTTTTGAGTTTCATTATTTGAATAAACTGTGTGCCATTTGGAAATTGACAAAGGTGTTGCTTGCAGTGTTTGTGTACTTGTTGACCAGAGCTTGCAGATATTGACTGTACCTCTCCAAAAATACCACTTCTTCGCATGAAATACTACCCAAACTAGAAATTTGCAATTTAAATTTTCAGTCTTGTGTCAAGCCCAATTTTATGAGTCAAGAAGCTAGCTTGTGCTCAGTATCTGTGAGATTTTTATGATATTGATGCATTTTGACATGTGCGATATTGTTGGTGGTAACATTTGGCACACAACAGTGGAATTGCGACAGCTACTGCATTCATGTAGTGTTATCAGCTCTGAGTAACAGATAACTATAGCAATGTGTCATTTATGTATTCTGATTGCTGTAATGATTACCATTAATTATGGAGGCAGTTTCATTCCAGAGATAAAATATTTACACACCCAGCAGTCTTGTTTTAAAAGGAAAAAACAAGCTCTGTCAATATTGATATGGTTATCAGCAACAGAGGTCATTATCAGCTGACAAGCACAACATTACAGAATGAAATATACATATTTGATCCTCTGCAGTTTGCACTGACAAGTTTTTATGTGCTGAGTTGCATGGAGGCCTGCTTACTCCTGTGTTAACTGTTGTTACAGATTGCCGGTATGAGGTCATAGTACTTATATGGCAAGCATGAGTCACTCACTCACTCAGACAAGGGAGCCCTGCATTGTAGTGCTGGCAGTTGAAAGCCTGCCGGTAATATTATCCTGACTCAGAGTGAAAAAAGGCTGGGAGGGGAGTGGAGTGTTTGTTTTACCAGTGACATATTTTTGGGTCAGAAGGATGTTCAGTTGGGAGGGGGGATAACAACATCCTGATATTAATCACCATTGATGACCTTGAAAACATGCCATGTTAATCGCATGATTCACTCAGTTTAATGAAATCGTTACTAAAAAAATTCATATTTGTGAAAACATGGATCATTTTTCCACAGTATGCACAGAAGAGGTTGTTTGTAACATTGTGTTTCCCTTTCACAAGCAATCATGCAGAAGAAGTTGTTTTTTCAGATGATTGCTATCTCCCTCTATTTTCATCCAAATGTCACTTTGACACTGTAGCCAACACCATAAAACTTTTGTGCAACAATGTTTTGTGAATTTATGAGACAGTATCATGGGAACCATAAAAGCTACAACTTTGTACAACTCAAGGTTGACCTAACAGTACAAGTACATTGACCTGCCTAGATGGGAATATATTTTGTTGTTAGTATATAAGGATACCAGTCTGTTAGAGGGACAATTTGTTCTTTTTGGTTTATATTTTTTAGATATTCCCATTTAAACTATCAATTAATACCTTAGAAATCTGTGCAAGTCTAGTCAGCTTTGAAAAAAAGATCCTTACATGCTGAAAAGTGGTGGGTGTTTCAGTTCAATGAGACTTGACTGACTCCCAGAGTAGCAGGCAAGGAGACATACTGGTATCATTTCTAAAGAGGCCAAGGTCCTGAGATGTCTGGGTGGGTGTATATCAGGACTAGATAAGCCCCACTGAGATTAACATCAGATTACTGCTGTATATTGCTACTTAAAAGCCTCTGACAGCTCAATGTTAGAGTATCATTGACATCATCATTGCCGTTGATTTCAGCTAATTGCTTTATGAGCAATGTCTTGTGTGAACAGTCCAAACTGATTAGATAATTGGTTTTGATAGCTTGTTTAAAGTGTTGATTTAATAGATAGTGACAATCCATCTTGGGTTGTACTTCTAAGCAAAAGAGTGTAGGTGGTATGGTAAAATGTGTTTCAAACTTTCCTATTCACAAACAGATTTGGGTCAAGGAGCAGATGGTGAAATTGAAAACTATGGTTGGGTCACAATGACTTAATCAATCTTATCAGGGGGCCTGAATTCATGAGCAGTGTCAATTAAGCCTTGGACAGCATTGTTGTCAGCAATGCATCAGTGATTTTCAACCCCAGGTTCACAGTGAAGCAATCAGCAGGTAGTATATAACAGTGTATTAGCCATATGTACAGCTTTAGCAGTGTAATTTATACTGCCTCTTGTAAATGGACAGATGTTGGTTACACCAGTTAGGGTAATTTTGACTGGATCTATTGTTTGATATTTCTGCAAATAGTATATCTGAAGACCCGGTAGCCCTGTGATGTAATCTGTGAAATATGAGGTGTACGCCTTTGTTCTGGAATTCATTGAGGAAATTTCTCATTAATGAACTATGTATAACAGATATTTAGGGAATGATTCATGACTTCACTGTTGAAGGTTCATTCTCACGTAAACTTCAAGCTGCATGTATCAAATGAATGTAATGCAAGAATGATACACAACATTTTCTTTGAAGTCTGTGTTGACGGCGAGGACGTAAATTGCGTCTTAATGCATTTGTAGCTGAACTAACAGGCTTGATGTGATACTTCACTTTGGCATGAGCCTGAACATTTTTCACTTGAAATACTATTTATCTTAATTTTAGTAACAAGTTTAAGTATAAAGAAGTGATATCGCATGTCCATTTGATTCATGACTTTTGTGACATCAAGTGAAAAAAATAATCAGGCAAGTGTTATAAGTATCTGAGTAAAATAATTGTCCGTATGCATACATCCCAAGATTCTGTTCACTTCACCTGATTCCTTTTAATACTGACTAAACCTCAGTAGGACTGTAGCTGGTAGTTAACCCTTGCCTGATACTCTTCTTGAGTAGGATTGTAGCTGGTAGTTAACCCTTCCCTGATACACTTCCTAAGTAGGACTGTAGCTGGTAGTTAACCCTTCCCTGATACACTTCCTGAGTAGGACTGTAGCTGGTAGTTAACCCTTCCCTGATACACTTCCTGAGTAGGACTGTAGCTGGTTGTTAACCCTTCCCTGATACACTTCCTGAGTAGGACTGTAGCTGGTAGTTAACCCTTCCCTGATACACTTCCTGAGTAGGACTGTAGCTGGTTGTTAACCCTTCCCTGATACACTTCCTGAGTAGGACTTAACCCTTTCCTGATACACTTCCTGAGTAGGACTGCAGCTGGTAGTTAACCCTTCCCTGATACACTTCCTGAGTAGGACTTAACCCTTTCCTGATACACTTCCTGAGTAGCACTGCAGCTGGTAGTTAACCCTTCCCTGATACACTTCCTGAGTAGGACTTAACCCTTTCCTGATACACTTACTGAGTAGGACTGTAGCTGGTAGTTAACCCTTCCCTGATACTCTTCCTGAGTAGGACTGTAGCTGGTAGTTAACCCTTCCCTGATACACTTCTTGAGTAGGACTGTAACCCTTTCCTGATACACTTCCTGAGTAGGACTGTAGCTGGTAGTTAACCCTTCCCTGATACACTTCCTGAGTAGGACTGTAGCTGGTTGTTAACCCTTCCCTGATACACTTCCTGAGTAGGACTGTAGCTGGTTGTTAACCCTTCCCTGATACACTTCCTGAGTAGGACTGTAGCTGGTAGTTAACCCTTCCCTGATACACTTCCTGAGTAGGACTGTAGCTGGTTGTTAACCCTTCCCTGATACACTTCCTGAGTAGGACTGTAGCTGGTAGTTAACCCTTCCCTGATACACTTCCTGAGTAGGACTGTAACTGGTAGTTAACCCTTCCCTGATACACTTCCTGAGTAGGACTGTAGCTGGTACCCTTCCTGATACACTTCCTGAGTAGGACTGTAGCTGGTAGTTAACCCTTCCCTGATACACTTCCTGAGTAGGACTGTAGCTGGTAGTTAACCCTTCCCTGATACACTTCCTGAGTAGGACTGTAGCTGGTAGTTAACCCTTCCCTGATACACTTCTTGAGTAGGACTGTAGCTGGTAGTTAACCCTTCCTGAT